CCCCCAAGGTCTTGGCCCACAACTATTTTTATAAACTTTTTCTGGAACCCAGCAATGGAGATTTGGTTGAAAAGTGTATAGCAGCATTTGTACTGGAAGAGCAGAACTGAATTAGCTGCAGCCTGCAAGACTGAACACGTTTACCATTTTTGCTTTTTGAGAAAATTTTGTCCAGTCTGGTTGGTATTGTCTTCATCACATTTAAAGCTATTAAAAGTTACCCTCCAAGCTGGGTCGAGTGGTGCAGGTCTGTAATTCCAGCATCTTAGGAGGCTGAGGCTGGAGGATTGCAAGCTCATGACATCGTGGGCAACTTGGTGAGACCGTATCTCAAGGTATAAGACAGAGGGGGCTGTGGATGTAGCTCAGTGGTGGAGCATCCTGTGCTTCAATCCCTCGTACCTGAGTTCAGTCCCCACTACCTCAAAGCAAAACATTACCGCTGTGTTTTTTTATAGTAGCACAGCTACTATAAAATTGGTCACAGCTAAATTTTGGAAGCAACTCAAATGGTCATCAACTGAGGAATGACTGTAAAGGATGTGGTATTTGTACACAATAGAGCAGTACTCAGCTATAAAGGAAGATAAACTCGAGGATTGTACAACTAAATGGATGCAACTACAGACCATTCTCAAAAGTGAAATAAATCAGACTTGCACGTGTAAACATCCTATTGTCTCCCTACTGCAAGAACCTGAAAGAGTAAATAAGCTCCAAAAGGTACAGTTGATACTGTGAAAGGGAAAGAAACTGCTCAGAAGGGATGAACAACTAGGATGGGGGAAGGAGAAAAGAAGGAAGAAAATATAACACACACACGCACACACACACACACACACACACACACGATAGCTAAAATAATTGTACTACTAATTTGTATTAGTTCATTGTAAGGAACAGTTAGTGCTTATATTGTTTGATCAGTTTTGCATGCCTCTACCTGGTAATCTGAGCAACTATGCCATTCGACCCAGCCGTTTCCTTCCGAGTATTTTTCCAGAAGAATTGAACACATCATACGTGCAATATTTTCATGCTCTCATATCCAGTTCCACCCGTAACTTTCAGGAGGTTATTGCTTATACTCCAAGAACTTGGAATGATGCCAGGCCTATAGAAAACACTCAGTGGCATAATTTTTTACTGTGGCAAAAATCACAGAAGTACAATGTACTATCTCAACAGTTCTTAAGTGTATATTTCAGTAGTATTAAGTATATTCACATTGTTAAATAGATCCTCGGAATTTTTGTATCTTATAAAATTGAAATTTTGCACATATTAAATAATAGCTCCTCCTTCTTCTTTTCTATTGGCCACGGTAAGTGTCATTCTACTTTATCTTGTCAGTGGACTCTTACAGAATTCATCCTTCTGTGATTGGATTGTTTCACATGGCACAGTGGCCTCGAGGTCTGCATGCTGTTCCATGTGTCATGCATCCCCTCCTCCTGAGGCTGGGTCCTGTCCCACGGGGTGTGGGCACTACCTTTTACTTAGCCATGCAGGCCCACTTGGGCTTCTTCTTTCACCTCGTGGCAATTACTCATATGGGATTTTCAATCAGAAGTGGGTTTGCCCTATCATAAGGTCGCTCTATTGTTATTTTTTTTCAGAATTGTCATTCTGTCCATAGCAGCTACACCACTTTATGATCCCATGCACAGTGCATAAGGGTTCCAGTTTCCCTCACCAGCAATTGGTGTTTCCTGGATTTTTTTTTTTTTTATAGTAGTCATTGTACTAAAAGCAAGGCAATTGCTTCTTGTGGTTCTGATTTACATTTCTTTGGTTAGTGACACTGAGCATCCTTTCACACACACTTCTTGGCAGTGTGTGTGTGTGTGTGTGTGTGTGTGTGTGTGTGTGTTAATCTTTTATTTATTTGGTACAGGATCTCACTGCACAGCTCAGACTCATAGTGATCCTCCTGTCTCAGCCTACCCAGCGCTGGGATTACACGTGTGCACCACCACACCTGGTTTTGGTGCCAGCACTGCACACCCAGTGTTCTAGAGCCAGACGGCATGTGGTACCGGGGATTGAACCTGGGTCCTTGCACTTGCCAGGCAGACACTTATACCAGCAAGCTATCTCTGTAGCCGTTGTTTAATCTTTTTGAGACCGGGTTTCACTGTGTAGCTCAGTCTGGCCTTGAACTCACTTTGTAGTCCTGGTGGGCCTTAAACTCACAGTAATCCTCCTGCCTCTACCTCCCAAGTGTTGAGATTACAGGTGTGTACCACTACACCTAGCTAGGTGTCTTCTTTAGGGAGATGTCATTTCAAGTCCTTTGCCCAGTTTATCACTGAGTTGAGTTTTTGTTGCTGAATTGTAGGAGTTCCTTACATACGTACCAGGTTCCTGACTCCAAATGTCTTCTCCTATCCTATAGGATTGCACTTGCCAGGCAGGCACTTATACCAACAAGCTACCTGAAAGTTCCTGTCCTTTCTGTTCTGCCAATTGTGTCCTGCAGTACACACAAGCCTTTAAGTTGGATGTGGTCCTGTTTATTTCTGCTTTTGTTGCATGTGCTCACTAGCTTATTTATTAAATCTTACCTTGGCATGAACTTTGGAGTGCACTGGACCAGCTCTTTAGAATCTCCACAGTGCTGATATCTTTGAGTATGCTGCTGAAGAGACTAACAGCCTGCAATCACTAGAATGGGTTCTGAAGAACACAGCTGGATTAGAAGGTCCTGACCTCTCTCCACATGCCCCCACCTCCAGGGAGAGAGGAGAGGTGGATGAGGCGCTAAAAGTTAAATTTAAGTTCATCACCATCACCTAGAGATTTAGGCAGCCTTGCACATGGAAAGACGTCACCATAAATTCCCAGAAGTACAAGGTTCACAGAGTTGCTGGGTAGCTGGAGTCATGAAGGTTCCTGGAGGTCTCTGCACTCAGAGAGGGTACAGAAGCTCTGCTCCTCTTCCAGGTGATCCGGCCCTATGCACTCTTTCACCTGCATCTTGGTATTGTCTGTGGTTATAAACCAGCAACCATTAAAAAACCAGAACCATCGCAGCTCCTGCTCTGTCAGGGGTGGCTCTGATCCGGGACACACTGTCAGATCTCTCTAAGCCTCATTCTTGTAATGGCACTGGCAGTAGGATCAACTTCATGGGTGAGAAAATGTGCCAAGGGCTGTCATGAAGTGCGCACTCAGCAAGGCCAGCTGCTGCACTCCAGGAGGGAGGCATGCAAGCTTGATACGTTTATCTGCCAAAGAAACGTGAGTGAGGAGACATGCTTTCCCATTTCAGGAGGAGAAAGGATGAAAGCCTACTGCCCTGGTGTTTCTGGGAGAAAGCCTGCCTGCCAAATTCTTGGAATTCACTTCTAGGGCTGACCTCAGTTCTTCCCCACCCCCACCCTTGGGTCTTTTTGTTGGGTCTCTTGGTTCTACCCTGAACAGATGCCATCCCATGGATATAATCAGTTCTTGAGTGTGACTGCAATCTTTGAAACACTAGGCTTCATTTTCCCTTAGCCTCCTTTACATCTCTACAGGCACCAGCAAGAGCAACACCAACTGGCATTGAGGATGTGTCAACCCCAGGAGGCGCAACACACAGTCACCCCAAAAGCCAGACAACCACAGCTTCACCTCCGGTGACGAGTACCTCTTCAGGTAGGAAGACCAGTCATCACCCCAATAAGGGTTGATCAACTTTTGTGAAATGTATGTATTCCCAAAGTCTATGAACAAATATCATAATCAATGCAGAAGACAGTGGAATTCAGGCATGATTTCTGAACCCTATGGTGGGTTCAAAGTTTACTTTTAAAAAAATTTAATCTTCTATTTATTTATTTGGTACCGAGTCCTGATACACAGCTCAGATGCATAATGATCCTCCTGTCTAAGCCTCCCCAGCATGCACAACCATGACCAGTTTTGGTGACCTGCACAGCATGCTTGGGGTTCTGGGGCCGGCACAACATGTGGTACTTGGGACGGACCTCAGATCCTTGTGCTTGTCAGGCAGGTGCTTAGACTGCTGAGCTGTCTTCCCTTCCTTAAAGTTTAAATTTTGAGTTGCTAAATCAAACACAAGGGCCAGCAAGATATCTCAGTGGACTAAGTCTCTGCTTAGGCAAGCACAGGGACAGGGGTTTGATCTACTGCACCACATGCTGCTCTGGCTCCACCCCTGGGCATACTGAGCTGGCAACTGAATCTGGGTGTAGTGGCACACACCTGTAATCCCAGCACTGGGGAGGCTTGAAAACAGGAGAATCACTAGGAATCTGCGCTGCGTAGTGAGGCCCTGCACAAAATACCAAAAACAACAACAACAAAAAAATCAAATACAACTTTGGGATGCTGCTGGAAGTAATCTCTCTACTTGCTTAGTTCCTGCTAATAATAATGTAATGTTTTACTTACCTACAAGGAGAAGCAGTCGCTGGTGTTTTTTGCTGGTCCTACATTGGGAACTTTGTGTTGATACCCAATAGCGTGAAACTCAGCTTAATAGACTACAGTAATATTTACCATCTTCCAGTATGTTCATGTCTGTGTACATGGGACAGAATTCCAAAGCATACTTCCCAGGACTTGGGGTTACATTTGTGATTTAGAGTTAGCAGCTGCAGTGAGCAAAGCACTGAGACAAGAAATTATGAGTAACAAGAAGAGAATTATCAATATAAGTAATCATTGTAATGCACTTCCAAATTATAGAGAATGACTCGCTTATAGCATGCATTGATAGTTAATGAGCATCAGAAAATAAATTTTTTCATGTTAAGTATTTGTTGTATGATACTAAAAACCCTCATTATTCCCTCAAAAAAAAATTCTCAGTTACTTGGAAAGTACTCACTACTCTCCAATCTTGCTCTGTGCCCCAAATGTCCCATAAAGCATGACTTAGAATGCATTTCAGATGAAAACTCACCCTTCACTATGCCAAGATGTCTCACACAAGAGTTAAAATGTCATTATAGCTGGACCTTTGGTACTAGGCTGAGAGGGCTCCTAAAATCCAGATCAGCCTGGGCCACTTAGCAAGACTGTGTCTCAAAATAGAAAATAAAAAGCGATGGGAATGTTTCTCAGTGTTAGAGTTCAATATGTAATACTCAAGAAGCACTTGATTTTTAAGAGAGTAATTTTTTTATAGGGCAGCACACGTCCGCTTTCCCCATGAAATGCTCAAGTGCGATGACTATATACGTGCCATGTGTTCCTCATCACAGTGTAAAGAGGAGGGTGTGGGCAGCGCAGGACTGATGAGCTCTAAGCTCCTGACAGATCTCCTACAGACTTACTTAATTTTCCGTAACATCATAATGGATGGTATCCTTGACAGTGACTGGGGTGCATCTTGAGCTCAGAATCAGCGGCCACCAGACCAAGACATGATAAGCAAATGACTGACCTGTCTTTGCTGGTATCTGCTTTCCCAGAATGACATTTTAAAAGTTGATGCAATAAGACTGTTGCTCCAGGAAGCCCCTTGGGTGGGGCTCCGTGTAAATGTGCCACAGCCATGGGTTGGATCGATGCTGGGAGAGATGGATTTGGGGCCATTTAGAAAAGGCTCCTTTCTTAAGGAGAGTCTTGGTACAGAGGAATAGCTTATTTCAAACCCAACCACTAGAAAGAGTAAGCATCTTTTTGAAGATGGTTGGCTACTGTTTTAGGAAAAAACAACCCCAAACTCAACCTTCGACTGTCTCTCCTGCTCACAGCCCAAATCACTTCTGATGTGAGATGCTTGAGTGGTCTCCCGCCTTACAGCCAAGCACATATGCAACTCTGCAGTGGATGCCAACTGGGGACCCTCTAATCCAGCTCAGTTTCTATCTGGAGCTGCTGTCAGATCACATAATCCAGGGCTTGGTGCCTGTACTTCTGATCAGTCAGCTACAAATCTGGGTTCTCATCCCACCTGGTGGGGTTTGGTTCACTCAAAGAGTGGTTCAAAGAGCTCGGGGCAAGCCTGTTAGTGTAATACCAGTGAAGAAGTGGATAGGGCAAGGTATTTGGAAGGGGGTTTAGTTTCCATGCTTCTCTAGGAGCCTGCCTGTGTGCGGCCTTAGACATCCTCTCTGAACCCTGTTCCTTTGGGATTTCATGGGACTTCATTGCACAGGCAAGATTACAGTGTGGACAACTGTATTGAACTGTAATGAGACAAAAGCGTGTAGTTTAATGCAAATATACTGACTGGGGGAAGCCAGCAGGGCCTGTCTGTCCAAATTCTTCTTGGCAGAAGAATTCTTTAACTGTTTCTGCGTAGTAGTCCTTTCTCTAGGCATAGGGCAGGGCCCTTGCAGGAATAGGGAGGGTCCTATGCCTGCGATGGTGAGGGAGCAGGGCAGAGAATTTCTTTATAGCCACCTTGGTGAAAGAAAGGAAGAGAAAGATTAAAGTTTCTGTGAATCACATTGGAGAAAAAAAAAATTCTAGCTTCAGTTGCCTACCTCAGAAGGGAGTTAAGAACCAGAAACTGTAGAGGAAAACAAACAAACAAATCCCAGCCAATTTTACTTTTAATTAGGAAAAGTGTTGAATATTTAAGGATATTTCTGCAAGCTGTGAACTAAGATTCTGTCCGGTTTCTCATTAGATCAAGGTATCTTGTTTTCTCCATTTGTCAACTAGCTAAACAGCCACTATTGAACGGAAGTAAGGACTCAGCCTACTAAGAGGTTAGCAGGGAAACAAACAGCACTTCCATTTCAAATAAGGAATCGTGTAGAATAATGTAATAGAAACTCACAATGTAGAATATGCACATTGCAACTATCAACTGCACAGAAATTCAAACGTGCCTGTGGCGCTGTGGACACCTGGGGCATTCTCTCATCAGATTCAACTGAGCATAGCGCTGCCCTGTGACGTCTTGATTTGGGTCCCGGCATAGCAGGGTACACATAGCATGATGCGAATCACAGCTCTGCCACCTCTTTCTGACATTTTTTTCCTTCCTTCCCTTCTTTCCTTCCTTTCTTCCTTCCTTCCTTTCTTTCTTCCTTATTTCCTTATATTCTTCTTTCCTTCGTTCATTCCTTCCTTGAGCCAGGAATGCAATTCACGACATTGCATTTTCTGGGCAGGCACTACGTCCTGCTGAGCTATATCCCCTGTTGTATTGCTTTCAAAGTGAGAAACAGACCGCATCACCATTCGTAAGCTTTTCATGATCTGGATCTTGGTCTAAGGTTACACAGCTCTGAATTCTTTCACTACCAAAATTCCAAACAATGCTGCCCACTTATTTAATTTCTCTCTGGCTTGCCAAACAAAAATACTATGAACCCATAGGATGTGTTACTAAATTTAATAATAGTTACAAAGATAGTATCCTGTTAGAACTTGCTTGACCAACTCCCACTCAATTTATTAAAGAAATTATCCTCTTTGCATATGTTTTGCTGTTTTCCATCCAAAGTAAATTCACCTTTTGCTTATTAAATTATTAAATTTATTAAATCCTAATAATTCTGTATTGTTTCTTCACAGTGAATGTGACTAAATCAACACAGACAGACGCTGATAAAGGTAGGCAAGATTTCAGTGTTAATATATTCTTATAGGAGTTGAAAAGGAAATCTTTTAACCTAGTCTTAGAGATAAATTACACTCTTTCTTGGGTTTCTCCCAATCTGTCTCTGTCTCTTTGTCTGTGTGTTTGTCTGTGTGTCTGTCTGTCTGTGTCTGTCTGTCTGTCTGTCTCTCTCTCTCTCTCTCTCTCTCTCTCTCTCTCTCTCTCTCTTTCTCTCTCTCTGTCTCTCTGTGTCTGTCTGTCTCTGTCTCTGTCTGTCTGTCTGTGTCTGTCTCTCTCTCTCTGTCTCTCTGTGTCTCTCTGTGTCTGTCTGTCTGTCTGTCTGTCTGTCTGTCTCTCTCTCTCTCTCTCTCTCTCTCTCTCTCTGTCCCCCTCTCCCTCTCTCTTTCCTGCCACTTCTGAAGAGGGAACTATTTGAATTTGAACAGAACCACAAGTGGGGAGTGTAGCTCAGTGGTAAGGCACTTGCCTAGCTTGTACAAGAACCTGTCCTAATGCACTACAAAAAAGTCAAATAAAACAATACTAGCCAGAGCTTCTCCACTTGTGGGCTGCATTCCAGTAGATCCAACATATTAGGCCACACTATTGTTCTGGTGTCATGGTGGTTTGTTTCCTAACTCAGTCTCAACGTTTTTTTCTTCCCTCCCATGCAGACAGTTTGTCAACATCAACCCTGGCTGGAATTGTCTTTGGGGTCTTGATCGCCTTTGGCCTCCTTAGTGGTCTCCTCTTTCTATTTGTGCGGAAAATGTCCAAATGATGTTTGTAAGTAAATCCACCTATGTAGACAGGGATGGTGGTACATACCTGTAGTCCTACCACTCTAGAAGGCTGAGGCAGGAAGATCGCAAGTTCAAGCCCGGGCTAGACAACTTAGCAAGAGCCTGGCACAAAATAAAAAATAAAATAACGGTTAAGTATGTAACTCAGTGCAAAGGTCCTATGTTCAATCCCCAGTATAAAAAAGAAAAGAAAAAAAAGACCCACAGGTTGCATGAATGAAGGCAACCACACTCCAAACTCAAAACTGTGGACTTTTTAATAAGTTTTTTGGTATAATTCAGATGTCCGTAACGATGGCATTCATCATGGGGAATTTGTACCTGTGCATGATCCGTCTTGATTCCTCCTTGTTCGCTCTTTCTGTTCCCCTCTCCTCACTCCCTGCTCCCCTCTTCTTATTCAAAGTTTTGTTTTCATTTTATCCTTTTCTTCATTTCTTTCTTTTCCCGTTCCCCCTAGTTCCCTTTTCCTTTTGAAAAATGGCTTCCCCATTTCACGATTTCTACTATACATTTCAGTTTTTATTCACACTTTCAATTAGTGTTTCACACCAGAGAGACAATTCAGTCTTTACACATGTGTGTCCGACTTAACTTATTGGTATGTGTCTCAGGCTTATCCCTCTTTATGGCTGAGTAGTACTCCATTGTATTGAAGCCAAACTCAAACCTCTGACCTAAACGCTTTCATATAAAGTTCATGATCAACAGCCTCTTGCCTCCAGAAATACTACCTCCAAAGCTTTCCCACGAGAACTGATAAATATTTAGGCGTTATAAGTCCCACCCTCCCCAAATAAATAAATGCTCTTAAATTGACTTCTACTAAAATCTGACTAAATCTGATCTCTTTGCTTGGTTCTCTAACCAAATGTAAGAGCCAGGCGTATAGCTTAGTGGCATAAGCGCCTGCCTGGCAAGCACAAGGTCCAGAGTTTGATCCCCAGTACCGCAAAATAAATAGATAAATAAGCTAACCAAATCTAAAAGAAAACCTAATTTTTTTTTTTTTTTTTTTTGTGGAACCAGGGATTAAACTCAGTCCCTTGCACTTGCCAGGGAAGTGCTTATTCCACTGAACCATCTCCCTGATCCCCCTAAATAATTTTTAACTTGATGCCTAATTCCCCTGCCTCTGGCCATCAGAAGTGAGTGGATTCTGGAAAAAGCCCTGTCTCAGAGCCAGCCCTCCATTCCGATGTGGAATTCCCTGCTGACGGAGGAGGGTCTTTCATCAGCTGCCTGCTTCCACCCCCGCCCCGCATGCTATGCACACGCGACTGTTGTACGCTGTCCTTCTACTTCGTGGGTGGGGGAGGGAAGGGAGTATGTTTTTAGCAAACTTCCTTATGAATCCAGAGCATTCAAATTCACATTCAGAGGAAAACATTTTCTTGCGGTAGAAAGGAAGAGAAAGGACATACGAGATACAGCCAGGAAATCCAGGGACAAGGCTCAGTCACAGCTGCAGACAGATGATGTTTGGAAATGCCAGGAAGTCTAACTTTGGCCATGAGAGGACGAGTGAAAGAGGAGTCATTTGGAGAGGAGGGTGGGGGAAAGGCGTAAGGCCCAGGAACTGGAAGACTTAGAGAAAAGGACAATGGAGACAGTGACTCAAGGGGCTACTTTTCAGGATGCCAGTAAAAGAAGCAGTAGCTCCCTTTTTTTGTTTCCACAGGTCGTAAGAGCTGGAGGATCATGCCTTCTGCCCACTTGTTTGGAAAAAGAGTTTGTGGCTTCCCCTGCTCCCTGTCCCCAAGCTGGTGGGAGAAGATGACCCATGGATTACTCACGCACCTACTCAAAAATCCATGGCGATTCCCCCGCTTGCCAAAGCAGAAGGAAAGAGAATGCACATGACCTGGCTTCTCTAAACATCTGCCTTTTGAAGAGAATTTTAAATATAAATTTTGTAGTCGATGATTTAAACACAAAGCACATGGAAAAGGAGGCAAAAGTATAAACTGATTTGTCACCAAAGACACAGCATTCCATCGATGTTAGTGGCTGTGCTCGTGTCTGACTCCTGTCTTCGTTCTGTTTTTGTACACATGCAGCGAAATCTGGAAATGTTTATATCCACGGAGACCTTGGTCCCGAGCTCCCCCAGACGTTTTGCAATTGACGATGTGCTGAAATGTACACATCCGGGTCTAGTTTGGTCTGGTTTTTTAAGCCTGATGGGGTCTGAACAACATCTGAGCTTGGATAAGATATAAGCAACGGCTTCTAGAGGGGCCAGATAAATTTTATGTTTCAGCTCACAAACAGGAAGTCTAGCCCTCTAGGAAGGTACTTTGTTTCTGGCGACAGCTTACAGAGCATCCTCTAGGCCAGCGATGAGTGAATGACTCAAAGATGTCTTCCAGCCTGCACACTCCGCTTCCTCAACTACTGGCGGCCAAAGTTAAGAGGCAGCTTTGCTTGCTCCCCCATGACACGAATCCATCAAGTTGGCTCTTGGACCTGCAATACAGACATCACAGCCCCACAGGCCCAGCAAGTCGCTGAATGCCCCATGGTCCTAAAATGTCACCTATTCCGGGAACGAAGAACCAAGCTTGATCTCCAGGCAGAAAGAAAAAAGCAGTTGGATCTAAAGATACGATTTAAAATAAAAGACATTCTCTGTGTTTATGCTATCCTGAGTTTTTGACTGGGATCAGGTTGAAAAGATCAAAATAAAGGTGCACGAGTGGCCTGGCCTGCCCCAGGGCAGCTCTGTGTAGTGAGTGCGTCTCTTCCCATGGACGCATTGGCTTCTTTTTCTATGCAAAATGTTTGTATGTGGACTAGATGCTCTTTCGTGGCTGGGGTTCTGCAATCCTGATATCCTCTCAACTCAAGAATTCATAAAACAGGAAAAAGTAAACAATCCATCGGAAGCACAGCCAGCCCATCCCCCTTTTCCTTTTTTATTTATTTATTTATTTATTTTTTTTTTGGCAGTAGCTTATGGATGTCATTTTAAACAGTGCACTCGTGCGTTTGGGTTCTCCAAATCCGGCTGGCCCACCACGTCCCACACTTGAATCGGCTGGGTGAGAGGGGGAAGTTAAAGGAGCCGTGTGAGTTTAAACAGCTTTTCCTTCCCTCAAACAGCTTCAGGAATAATGGTCCGCTGCTTCTCTAGCCCTCGTGCTTTGCGCCTCTCCCGGTGGGCAGTAACAGTGCCAGCCCAGATCATACACTGGACTCGGAGCCCGTGGGGTCGGGGCCGCGGGGTGGTGGGTTTCTTGGTCGCACCTCGGTGCTCAATGCAGTGGAGACGTATTTTCCAATAAAACAGATGATTGTCTACACGGCCGGGTTGGGTGTTTGGTTGGAAGTCTCTGCTGCTGAGCCTGGGTCGCATCTGAAAATATCTCCAGTTGACCTCTGGCTGTTGATCTGCTGAATTGTCCGTGGTCATGGGAGGTTCATTCAGAGGGGGAAAAAATGCAACTCGGTCTTCCCTCGTAGGTCTCTGACAAGGTAAGAGCGACAGAGGCCAGGGAAAGAGATAGGGCTGAAGGTGGAAATGCCCAGGGGGACACTTCTTTGCCCTCTCTGGTCCCAAAGGTTAGCAGGTTTTGCCTGCATTACAGAGAGGTGCCAAGTGGGGCAGAAGTTTCTTCTTCCTACTTTGCTAACTTGGCTTCAGCAGTCTAGGCGCTCCAGGGCCTAGCTAGTCCAGAAGAGGAAGCAAGAACCGCTGGGAAGGACCCCAACTGTCCTCAAGCCTGGGCAGCAGCATCTGAATCCAGAACCCAGTTGCAGGGATGTCTCCACATGTCTTGCCCATCCTGTCCCTTCCTAGCTGGGGAAGGGAGGACCTTGGGGAATGCTACCTGCTGCTCCCCACCTCCACAGCTGCATGGGGCCTTCTGTTGTCAAGTCCTGGGTTCCCTTGGGCAACAGTATCTCTGCTTGCAAAGGTTAGGTGCTGAGAATCGTCATCATCCTTCCTCCCCCTGAAGACTTCCTTTGTAGGATGTACTGAAGACTGGAAGCATTCAGATTTCATGCTGCTGTCCTGATGTGGGGATATTTACAAAAGACCATCTCTAATCCAAAAATCCAAAACACTCACAATCCAAAACTGAGCATCACACTGGCTCTCAAAAAGTCTTGAATTTTGGAGAATTTCAGATTTAAGGATTTTAGACTAGGGATACACAGTCCTATACAAGGTTTCTTGTTAGAGCACCAACGAACTTCTTTATCTTTCTTAAGAACTTCCTTGAGATTGATCAGAAAAACCTCCCTATTCTAACAGAAAACTGGTAATACTTTCCTAGTCCCACAGCCTGGAAAAGAAGGGGTCCTCTGCTATGTCAAGTATGAACTTCCATTCTAATCCGTGTCACAACCAGGAAGTGATTTGGGGCTAACAGAGCTAGCAGGGTAATCCCAGAAACAAGGAGATGGCTGTCTTCACACCTCCATCGGGGAGCAGGCAGGACTGAAGCTGTACTCTGTTCTTTTTTTATTATTATTATTTTAGGGTGGGTCTACAGAGCATTCAGGGTCTCACTACTAGATTGGACTCATACTGATCCGCCTGTTTACAGCCTCCCAAGAGCTGGGATTACAGGTATGCCCCCCCAAAGCCCAGTCTCAGTGCACCCCCAGGGGGTGGGGCCAGCACAGATCGAACTCCCAATCCCTGTGCTTGCTTGCAGGTGCTTTAATCCGCTGAGCTATTTGGCTGGCCCTGTTTGCGGTCTATTAAACTATTTTTTTAACCTCCATCTTCTTTCAGCCAGAGAACAAACTGAAAAGCAGGGCTAAATTCTGCTTCATATCGCCCTTCACAGATCAGCTTTAAAGGACAGGGAAAGAAGTAACTTCATCCTTTGTTGACATCATCTTTATCTTAGTTTAAATTGGGCTAGTCTTTGAGGCATGACAGTGTTTGTGACAAATGCATGTAAAGGGAATGATACATGTTTTGATCCTAAAACGTTGGGTTTTGTTTTGTTTTTTGGTAGTACGAGGGATCGAACTCAGGACTTTGCGCTTACCAGACAAGTACTTATTCCACTGAGCTATCTCCCTGTCCCAAAACTTTCTGTTTCACTAATTAAACATCCAGGGAAAAATGAGGGAAGAATTTGCCTGAAATGTAGCTGAACCTCAACACATTGCTGGACATAAGGTCATGCACCTGTGGCTTGTGCTGGAGGGCTGGTTTCTCATTGTCCTTCCTGAAGCTTAAAATCAGATTAGATACCTGAAAGAGTAAATAAAATCTGAAAGGTACGATAGATACTATGAAAGGAAAAGAATCTGCTCAAAGGGAAGGAAAAACTAGGATGAGGGAAAGGAAAAAAGAAGAGAGAAAGACATATTTGGGCATATATGCAGGATAGATTGTATTACTGTACTGCTGATTTCTGCTGGTCTATTGAAAGGAGCAGTTAATGCTTAGATTTTTTTTCTCTTTAAAATTTCTAGGGCTGGTGAGATGGCTCATTGGTCTAAAGCACCTATTTAGAACAATCACAAGCTTAGCAAAGCACAGGGACCGCGGTTCAATCCCCCAGCACCACAGGCCAGCCAGCCTCGCCCCCTGGTGCGCTGAGCTGGCCACACACACACACACACACACACACACACACACACACATAAATAAATAAAATTATTTTAAAGAAGAAGTAAATATGATTATGAAAAAGTGTTCCATAAAATTGGCAACATTTAAAAAAATAAATAAAATTTGTATAACTTTTTATACCAATTTTGCATACTTCTGTCTGGTAAACTAAACAACTAACTTGCAGATAACGTTATGTAATACAAGAACCACTGTCAAATTCCTATTTTGTTTAGTGAAATTCTGTATCATTTCTAATGATTTCTTTCTCTCTTTTTTCCATTTTTTAAATTCTCTTTAAAAAATAAAAAATAAGGGCCAGCAAGATAGCTCAGTGGACTAAAGCCCCTGCTTAGGCAAGTGCAAGGACTGCGTTTGATCCCTGGTACCACATGCCCCATTAGCCCCACCCACAGGGCAGGCTGAGCTGGCCAGAGTCTGGGGATAGTGGCCCACACCTGTAATCCAGTACAGGGGAAGCTGAAATGGGAGGATCACCATGAGTCTGAGCTGTGTTGTGAGACCCTGCAACAACCAGATACATTTAAAAATAAATAAATAAAAATGGAAAAATAATAAAAAATAAGAATATAAAGCAGGTTAGACAGCAAGATATGGTGGTGCACACCTGTAATCCCAGCACTTGGGAAGCTGAAGCCTGAGGATTACAATGAGTTCAAGGCCAGCCTCGACTACATAGTGAGTTCAAAGTCAGTCTGAGCTATACAGCAGACCTTGTCTCAAAAAAAAAATTGTTTTTTAAATCGCTTTACAATGTATAGCAGATTCTCAGCTTTTAAATTGATGCATCTGAACATCCTGACTGGGATTACAGATCAACCAGGCAAAAGAAACTTAAAATCTCTTTTCTTTTTAAAATCTATTTACTTATTTATTTGGTAGAGGGTCTCATTATGCAGCCTGGACTCGTAGCGTGACATGAAGTACTGGGGACTGAACCCAGGTCCTTGCACTTGCCAGGCAGGCACTTAGACTGCTAAGCTATCTCCCCAGCTCAGAGACTTAAAATTTCATTGCTGGAAAATTAAGAGTATCCTACTGATGTGAAGAAAGTAACTGGCTTGGGCCCACGGTCCCAGGTGACCATGCCTGGTACAGGGGAAGTGCCAGACTGAGCTCCCAGGACACTGTGCCTTTGCTCTCTCTGGGGTGATTTCAGTAGACACCAAGGCAAAGAAAAACACTGTGTGTGCTCTTTCTACATTCCAGTGCCACAGGCCATAGCACGGACCACCCTGCGCAGGGTCCTAAGAATTCCATTTCTTCCCTAGCTCTTTTACTGCTATCCTCACTGGTGCAAACCTTTGAGGGAAGAATCACGTGCCAGTCTCAGGGGAAAGCCAGCAAATGGTTCTGGAACCATGGCTATTATCCGGATACTCCTGAAATAATAAAAAGATCTGAAATATGTGCTCAGATAACCCCAACCACCTATACTGCTGCATCTGGCAGGGGTAGGAATGTTCTGACAGCAGAGTAAACTTGCACCTTGCCTTGGCTTCCCCCTAACCCTACAGCCTTGCATGGACCCCTGCAGGTCAGGCTGAAGTGGTGAGTGGCACTGATCTGGCTGGAAGGGGATGTCTGTCTAGCAAGATCTAGAAGCAAAGAATACTCAGTTGGGTAGATGAGAGGTCTGAGGCTGCCAGTGGGTTCTCATGGGACAGTAGCCATCTCTTCATGTACTCGCCCATCCATTCAGCAAACAGTGTCAGGCCTGTCCCCAGCACCAACAAGAACCACACAGTGTAGTGTGGGGGACAGGGTAGATGCAAAACAGAGAACCAATCATGAAGCATGTGGAACAGTAGAGGAAGGTAGTTTCAAAGAGAACATCAGCAGGGTAAGGGAGTGACGACAGACAAGAACAACAGCATTCAATGCGGTAGTCCGAGAAGCCCCCACTGAGATGTAAGTACATTCGTTTTCCATGCATGTACACTGGGGATTGAACCCACAGCATCCAACCTGCTAAGCAAGCACTTTATACTCAGCCTCCTTAATTTTTTTTGTTTTGAGACAGCCTTCCTAAGTTTCCCAGGCTGCTATAGATCTTGTGATCCTCCTGTCTGAGTCTCCCAAGTAGCTGAGATCCCAGGCGTGTGCCGCCACCTGAGGCCTGAGCAGTGCTCCTGACAGAAGAGGCAGTCCGCCAAGTGAGTTTGTAGACAAAGCATTCCTGGCAAAGACACATCTAAACCCAGGCAGGGCAGGAAAACCACTGGCGGCTTTTCAGGAGGGCTCAGACGGTTGGAGCTGAGTGGGCACTGGGGAGCCTATGTGGGCTGTGGGGAGGAGTTAAAGAGAGAAGTACTATGATCTGACTTACATTGCAAGAAAATTAGGCTTGGGCTGGGGAGATAGTTCACTGTTCTAAGTGCCTGCCTGGCAAGTGCAAGGACCTGGATTCAGTCCCTGGTGCTGCATGCCACGCTGCCATGCTAGCCACCGAAACTGGGCATAGTGGTGTACACCTGTACTCCAAGTGCTGGGGAGGCTGACACAGGAGGATCACTATGAGTCCGTGCTGCATAGCAGGACCTTGTACAGAAATACATAAATAAATAAGAGATTAATACATAAACAAATAAATAAATCAGTCTTGGACCAGCTACTTGGTAGGCTAAGCAAGAGAAATGTTGAGTCCCAGGTGTTACAGGCCAGCCTGGACAAATAAATAAAACCCTCATCTCAAAAAAAA